CCTTGATGTCACTGATGTGTCAATATATTCCGGCCGGGTTCAATCTCCATAACAACGATGTATGAAGCAAGGGCGACATTTATGTCAATAACCGTCGAAAATGTTTCTGAATTAACGATATGAAACTTCTTTAGTACAGTCCAGCGTGTCAATAATAATACGTGGATCTGCTCACTGGACTTTTATTGGGAATGCATTGTTACCGGACCTTCAAAATAATTAACTTTAGATTGTAAATTACGTTTATATTTATTACCTGAATACAATTTGTTGCCTATACTTGTCTATCAGTTAGTAATAATTCTTTATATTGAGAATGCCAACTCGATGCAATTATCGTTCAACATAACGATGTTCCTTTAAAATTTGAACAATTGTTCAATTTTACTTTAATTAAAGATGCTTTATGTAAAATTTAGATAATAAGCTGTCCATTGAGAAATGAATATATTGAAAATTTCAGTCACATTTTACCTTATTTTGAGCATCGGACTCACGATGTCCAAGCCCATGACGTATAGACCCTACTATCATCCTAATGCAAATCTACTTCTAGACGGGCATACAATGAAAGAAGTCAATGAAGAAATTGGCAAACAAAAGTTCTCTCGACTTAAGATTCTTTTCAAAGCAATGCCAAGTTCGTTTGTAACTTGCATAAATATTTAAAATCATACAACTTTGTCTTGTGAATTAAACTATCAACACGGCCATTTTTCAATTACAGATTTAACCGCTGGCAAGGAGCTTGTATAATTAGGTAATTACCCTTGTCACAAACATGCGATGAACTTTTCACAAACCGGCTGTACACCGGAAATAACTCGACTTTTTTCCCTTATTCGATTAGAGCCGAACGTAAAATGTTCTGATTTATTTTTCCACCAGGGACTCTCATTTACATTCAAGAAACAACATGATAATTCATCATTATACGATCTCCCATATGGACGTTATTTTAAAGGGGAAACATTCCATATTGTTCACAAAATATCATAAAAGTAGAACAGTATAATACTATTTTACTGTTGTATCTTATTTAGCACATCTAAATACCTACATCCCTCCTCCACAAAACTACGACGGCATGAAAATTGGACGGAATGATAGCTGAATTATACCCAGACGTAAAAAGATGGGGGCGTGATATAATTACCAAGAATCATAAATTAAAGAGGCATAATTACTTTCCACAAGAATATAGATATAATCTATTTGATATAATTAACATATGGATTGCCAGGCCTGTCTCAGATTCTGCACGCAATCTAATTTAAATATCCTTTGTGTAATCAAACCAAGATTTCAAACCATTAACGCATCTTCTTTCCATAAGAATTCAGCGACTTGAAAAGTATATGGCTTGTTACCCTTTTCGATAAGACCAACTTTTGGGGGTAAAAGAGTAGCTTGTTATGAGAACATATCGTTTGTTGTCCAACTCTGTAAAAACATAATGCCGTAGTAAACTGTGTTTTCCCGTACCATTGTGATTGGTAATTGGCTCAACACTGTTTCCATTCATCGCTGTTAAAGACGAATAAAGAATTCCAGGAAGGTTTTTGACAAGCTGTTTACCAGGATTACGTTTCCAAGTTCGAATATATTAGCTAGAAACATGACTTGTATATAATAAAACAATATCTACCAAATATACTCCAAAATGACCCCACGTACTCATTTTATGTCCATAATTTTGGTATTTGCAGAATTGCGATTGAAATTACTTTACAAACACGTCTAAATGCTGTCCATAATGACAATTGTCGACTTTATTTCACTCTCAAAGACACATCGGTTACTTTTCATCTTATTGCTTTGTTTACGCAATGTCGAATACAGCCTGGGAGCACTTCTCCAAATAAAATAGACTGATCTATAATGACAAATAAAGCCGCAGAGAAATACACTAATTACTATAAAACGTGAGTACTTTAAGTGCTTCCGAGTTACTTATAATTATTTTACCTAAGACATATTCCTGAAGGTATTTCCACATGCACGTGTGTCTGTTGAGTTATAAATGCTCAGGGACTTTAAATGAACAAGAGTTTCGATTCTGTATATTTGGATTAGATCGTCCGGTATACCAGTGGTACCAAGTTGATGCCGTTACCAGGAGGCAATTAGCTCTTCGTATATTTGCTTTAGTCAGGCGTCTGACCGAGGTCAAAGGATTATAAGCATTACGTATTTGTAATGAACTTTATTGAAAATCCGCTCCATCTGGACAAAGTTCCCAGCAACTTACCGATCGTTAAAACCAAGGGATTAGTCACCGTCTCCCAAACATTCGAACCAATAAATTGAGTGATTATCATTCATCAATTGTTAATCTCGACATGATTAATATTGCAAAAGTCTATCACTAAATTATGTACATCATTGTACATTCTTATACGTATAATTTTGAGGTGCTTTTTATGGACTAAGCCTAGTAATTACTTTCTCTACTTGGTTCCTCTACTTACACAACCCCCTTCCCCCGACCAAACACGCTCACACACTCACACATACACTTACACCTTTTGCATAACAACTGTTTTTGACTTTTTAGTTTAGAATCGAAGAAAGATGTTTGAATTTACAGGTGTGGGTGAATATTCATGATTTTGAGACTGAAGGGCCATCAAGTAAATAGGCATGCATCAGGAAAATCGCCTACTAAAATGGCGTCATTGCCTATAGATTCCATTGACCAGGGCTAGCATAAAATCGAAATGGTCAACTCCATTCAATATTTTTATAAAATGATTGTGACATGTCGGGCTCTTTGTGGATATAAAGATTAAGATTATCGGAATGTAAAAAAAAAACCAACCTGTTATAAGCCAAGAAATGTCATGGATTTAACATTGAAATCAATACAGCGAGAATTACTAGTCTGTAGTAACCGTCAACCCTCCGAGGTGAGGTGGGAAAAGGAATGACTGATTTAGTGGGGATGTTCAGGGAAACGTATAGCAACTCGAGGGTTTGATGATGATATATCAATGTTATTTATTTAGACAATGTATACATAACACTCGTACAAAGTTAGACGATGACAGATTTGTAGCATGGGGGTTGGGATAAACAAAGACAGCACTGTTGTATAGGGCGCATGCAAGAATTGTTAAAAAGAGGTATACTATAAATAGACCATAAAATAAAAAAAAAGCTCGGGGTGAGTGAGTTCACAACCCTTTACTTCCCGCCCATTTGGGTTTTTCTCAATTATCATTTCGTATAATTCGCTTACGGAAAAACGAAGAAGACTATGATAGATAATTCGACAGAAATGTTCTCAGATTCCAATTTACACCATTTCCATGATGATATCAAAATCACGATGAGTTGAATCATCCATCATTAAAATGTATAATCAATTCAAATAGACATCAAGAAGTATAAAAAGATAAGAAACAAGTTATACTTCCTATGGTTTAATTTTGATATGTAAAACAGTTAAGCGTGATGTTTGCAAGAAGAATAGCCAATTACATGTAGAAACCATATCTCCAGGAATCCTAACCAGTGATATCACCTGTCAGATGTATTACCCCGGTTATAAATCTATAAATCTACCAGCTAGAATTAAGATCAGTCGTTGAGATAAAATATGTATAGCAAACATATACCGAATATCGTTGATTAGTATCTAAAGACAGAAATGTATTTGAAGTAGATATATACCATGTACCATACATATATACGGTTTACTTAAAAACTTACAAGGGGTGGGGGGGGGGTAATCTTTTGGTCTAAAAATTATTCATGTCGATCAATCCTAGCGTAAGTTATAGCCATTTAATGTGAACCTTACCTTCCACTGATTTAACATTGCCATCTTTTTCTCTTATACTGGAAAGATGACTAGTGAAGGATAATTCATTTGCATCTATGAACACATGTTTATTGGCTTTCTAGCTAGGTGATGTTATAATGCTCAAGAAAGGCAATAGAAGAGCAAATAAATGAATGCCGCCCAAAATAGACAAACTAAAATATACCATTTTTGTAACTACGAGAACGTAACTAAAACTTTGGGATATAGAGATGTGTATGTTTTTAGCTACAATTGGATGCCACTAAATTCACCTGGCAAATAATTTTATACTGTTAGGATTAATTAAAAATACCCGGCCCAAAACTTTCGCTTGACTGCAAATATTAACCCCGCCAGTTCAATATCCATGTTGACAACAGACCCAGACCCTACGTACGTTGAAGATTAGGAGATTCTGGGTGACAGAGACTATAAAGTTAGATCTCTTCCGTTTTAAAACGTCGGATATAGCCGTGTAAATTTCATTAACTCTGGAACCCATTTTATAGTATGAGCAAAGTTACACAATTTCATTAACTCATGTCTAACTGTCAACAACATATTGTGGACTTCCGAGAATAGTAGTAGAAGTCACAACCAGAAAAAAAAAATTTCATGTTTAAAAATAAAGACAGATGACGAAACTACAGATATTTGTGAAAATTAAATCTAAAGTTACTATAAATGAAAGTGAAGAACCACAAAATAATATTTTATTATGCTCTATAGTAACATGTGCAATGCGGGGATAAGCCTTTCATCACAAGATATATTATGTGCAATACAGGACCATTGTTTCCCCATATCTAAAATCACAAACTATCTAATTCAGCACTTTGAATCTTATACCCATCTTTTGCATACTCGGTTTGGTTCGGACCACTGTGCATAGCACTCGAGTGAAAGAGCATTATAGCAAAACCTGTCCATTTGATACGGACATAGACGTCGACATAAAGAGCACAAATGTTTTCAATATCTATATAAAATGAGCACATTTATTAGTTATGTCTCACAATTACTAAACCAGAAAAAAACACGGAAGTAGTTATTAGATCTGAAGTTTAATCTTACTTCAAAGTAATCTCATTCTTTCATCTTTAAAAAAAGATGGAAACTGAAGATGATATGATTACATATTGTTTTACCTGTTTATATAAACAAAATAAAATAGCTATAAAGTATAACATACCTGCAACCGCTTGTAAATATCCTGATAATAAAGATAACTTTTTATTATGCGCTCTGATCATAATAACAGTACATATAGCTAGGAATGCTGATAGACACATTAGTACACACCCTACTCCATACAGTACACACGACGCCTGCCAGGCACCGGACGGGATGTTTCCTAAATGATAATAACCCCCATACGCCGTACATAACTCACGATTGTTTTCGTAATCCGAATCCACGTAACAATAACTTATCATTCCAAAAGCATGAATACAATCCAAGTGCATGATCCAGAACGGTTGAAGAAACGTAAAGGTGCATGCCCCGGCCACCATCACAGACAGGAGAGCCCAAAGCAGTAATATCGGAGGAACCATGTTTTTTGTTAATAAAATCTAATACTCGTTATCACTAAATAACCAACTCTAAAATCTGCATTTAACAAAAACGGATCGCTCTCAACATTATTTTTAATGAAAACTGTTGCTTCGAGTTTTTTTTTTGCTCTGTTCTTCTGCTGGAATTTTTTTTCTCTTTTTCAATCAAACTCGAGAACACGGTGAAAAGATTCGCTGGATATTGAGAAAGTCTATTGTCAATTAAGGCGAGAAAACGAGATTTCCAATTAGCCTTCTACATGATAGAATAAGTCAACTTGATTCCAGAGATCTCATATTGTACTATCCAATCAACCAGCTAACACGACCCATTCTCCCAATTCTATTATTAATCCATTGTAGCGACACTGTACAGTCCTCCAATATTGACTGTCAATGCCAATAACGTTTAACCACAGACTGACGGCTTTATGGTGCCCTCGCTTAGCGTACGATGAGAGAGTATGCCGCGATATCTTGCTTCTCTCCTACTTGGATTGCCAGTAAAATGTGAGGCGAGAAGCGGAATCAATTGACTAACCATATGAACACTATAGTTAGATTAGAATATGTATATGATAAACCAACACTGTCTAGAAGTTTTTTTTTATAATACTTATCACACTAAAGAAATTTTAAAAAAGCAAAGAACACACTAATGAATGTAGGTCAACACGAGTTTTGTTTTCTGAAATTGTTATGACTTCACAAATTAAAATCAGAAGTTGAAGTTGAGCTCGTATAACTATTTAAAGTGATTCTTGAACATATGAGACAGTTGATTATTCCGGAAGTCGGACGATCCGACATCTATTTTTCATCTTACAATTATTCTACCCTCCTCCGTAAGTCTTAGACTGTTTCATTGTTTCTTTTTAATTGATTTTGCTTTACATTTATACTAGATCTTAACAACATATTTAAGATGTGTTTGCTCACTTAACCGAACATAGTATCTAGCCAATGCTGGGATACATGGTCTTGGGCAAGAATGGTAGGAGCGATGATTATATACATAATCTGCCCACCACATTATTTTCTAATTACTTCAGGTAACCAGTGAATTTTAGATTAAGTCTGGTTTAAACATATTTTATTACCATAAAATAAAAGGATTGGACAGAAGTTACTTACAAAAACATCATTTCTTTCATAAGTTCATCAAGGATATAATATTCAAGTACTAAATTTTGCCTACTTGTCTGTCTTTCTTTAGGCCTTAAATGTTATATAAATTATTAATTAGACATTTATTAACGTGGCAAGACCATAACCAACTCTCGATGCCATCGGATGCTCAAAATTTTAACTTGATTAGGACGGTTCGGCCATTTAATGATTTAATCTAAAAATTACTATAGTGCACACATCTTGTCAAAACTACAAACAGTGATTACTTGGCTCAGAATAAGGTAATTTGAATGAAATATTTTCAATATATTCATTTTGCATGATCTATGTTTGAACTATTATAACAAGGACGACCAAATCTTTATCTAAATCTTACATAAAACATCTTGCTTCACAAAGTACCGATAACACATTAATGTGGTCATTTAGAAATTACAGTTATAGTTGTCTATGAACTGTGTTGTGCAGTACGTGGAAGCATTATTCTGCCTTGCAGGCTATATACTGTTACTTTAATCCAACTCTCTTGTTATTTAACAGATCATTTCTGGCAGATGCATATCTAAAGATGTATATAAACAAGTCGTTATATCTAATTCCTACAACTATTACTCTTATAAATCATACACGATATTGCGGCTCTTTGTAACTGAGATAGATCAAGTAATTACAAACGTAGAAAATACAAATTGGCTGCAGACAGCTTGGTAAAGGGTAATAAACGGCTTTCTAATTTACAGAGCCTAATATAAGTGGAGTTGGCAATCACTGCTCAGAGAATGGTTCACCTAACTCATATTTAGATTCCTTACATACACATTTGTAGTAGAAGTAATATTGACAGTAGTAAATAGTTTCACTAGCTTCCAAAACATTCTACTAATAGAACAAAAACTCAGATGGTTTTGGTCTTTTTTCTTTCTTTTTTTGATGATTCTAACAGTTGTTGGGATATATCTGAAAGTCAACCATGTCAAATTATCTTTAGATTTTTGCTTTTTATAAACTCAGTAAAACTAATTGAAGTATATTTGTGGTACTGGGGTTAGACTAAAAGATTGTCAATTTCTCGTTTACCGTCTCCTTATTTTATTGTATTGTTTTACCACCCTGTAACGATTTTAAAGCTCAACTAAAATGTGCTAAAGATATATAAATATATAGATCAGAAAATGACGGGAAAGGTATTTGGGCTCTAAGGGTCGAGTACAATGATTTGTTAGAGAATGATTAATTGGAAATAGAATAAAATGGGGTTTAACGCCCCTATAGCTCTCTGCACCGGAAATTTTGCCCTGACAGTGGAGTTTCCGCTTACTCTTCACTGACTTCGATTTATCGAGGGCTCTTTTACGTGCACGCCAACGTGGGCACGGAACCTCGTTTTACCGACGCATCCGAACGACGGTTAGGTCCTCCTAATTAACCTTGTTTTGCAAAACCTTGGCCGGGTCGTGCACTTGAGTAAAGTTATAAAGTTAAGTAGCAAACTTATTCACAGCTGCACCATAACGTCGTGGTGCTTATAATTGTGTGAGCAGCCCAGTTTCGTTCATTTACTTCTAATGTTTTCGATTCTTTTTCCTCTTTAAACCCCGTTGGTAATTTTCATCCAGCCGAAATATCACCTCTGTCATTACTTTCGATATTATCTCAGAATTAGGTGTAAACGATACCTATATAGGACTGTTTAGAGAAGTTCTTACCCGTGGTACTTTTGATCTTAACTAAGATACGACATTTTCGGAATATAAGGCGACGTTACTCATTATAAAAGATGCAATACCATTAAGTCTTTCATTTTCAACAATAAGAATTAAGCTTTCGTCGATCCAATACGTTTGTGTTATAGAATATAATGGTTCTACCATGGGAAATATTTCAGAGAATTATTCCACCATTCATATCTTTCTCTGTTCAAGTCATTCTAGCTCATTGAGCCATATTTACCATAGATCATGCGAGGTTCTACTTTTTCCATCGCCATAAATCAAACGGAATCTGGTGGTTCCATGGTGCTCGTCTACTCTATGCCAAGATTTTGGGACTGGTGAAGAAAGGAGGGGGTCACGGTGGCTAAGTGGGTAAGACGCTGGCTCGCTAGCATGGATGTCGGGTGTTCGATCCCTGCATTGGCCGAGAAAGATCATCCAGATTATCAGGCGTGGTTCCCCCTCCCCTTGTCAGTGATGTAGGACGAAGGGTCTGACAATGACAGCTTTCTAGTCGTTCGGATGGTACGAAAAACCGACGTCCCGTGTACACATTGGCGTTCACGTAAATGATCCCTTGACAGTTGGAATTCGATGTATAAGAGTAGGCCGTGGTGCCGCTATCCGGGCAAAATTTCCCTCATAGCACACTATGGCGTATGCCCGTCTTCATTAGACCAGTTTGGAGCAGAACAGTTGGACGTTAAACCCCATTTCATTTCATTTCATTTCGGTGAAGAAAGGGTATTGCATAGCGCCCCCTACAAACGTACTGTGAAGCTGTAACTTGTTTCGAATCGAGGTGGGGTAAAATGATTATCTCGACCACATGAATTACATTTTAAACCGGAACCTCTGTATTTTTCCCCAAATGCATTTATATTTACCTTCCTTCAAACATTTCTCCATTAAAAAGAGAAGGCAAATAGTCATCTTATTCGACTTGGTAAATTTGTCTTCGAATACACGATTTACAAAAATGTCATAATCAACATAAATACAGCTTCTCATGAATAAAAATCGTCTGATTTGTTATAGTTTTAGAATGAAATCGAAATTGCAATTTGCAATCCATATGGAGGGACCTGTAAATCTAAGACTATTCATTCAAAATGGATACAAAAGGTATCGATTGGGTTATCTGTCTATATTTCAAACTATTAGGTCCCCTTGAGAAATAACTGATTTTGATTCACAGTTTACAGTTTTTAAAAGGTGCAATCAATTAGATTAATTAAAGTAGCTAAGTCTCTAACTCAATATCATCCAAAGTCTTACACATTGAAAATACGAATTATTTGTCAATTCAAATCAACATTGATGTTGTGGTCTTACCAGGAAAGGCAGGCTTCTGATAACCAATATTGAAGACAAAATAAACGTTTTACCATTGGTACACGAATCGTGTACCATAGTGCGTTTTAGCGTCATTTGCAACAAGTGACCAGAAAGAACGAGGCTAGACATATTCAACTGGAGAGCCTGTTCAATTGACTGGAATAACCAGACGCTAGAAATTTCTATAGGGTTGAGACACGTGCCTTATTTCGCTGGACATAACTGATTTGAAATTAAGAGTCAAAACGGAAACAATTGAAAGTAAATCAGTTTATATACAATCACATTACATTATTATATATGTTGCGACCCATTTGGGTCAATTTCTATGTCCCAAATATTAGCGATTTAGCTCCTTTAAATTTAAAAAACCGTTATCTTGCCACGGCCAACACCTGAGTGATGTAAAGCGCATTACCAAACATCACTTTTTTGTCTCTCTCTCTCTTACTTTTTGATATTCTTGCACCTACCAATAACCCGTCGACAAGTTTATTTCTACTGTTGACGTTTCATTGAATAGAGTTTTCAAAGTATCTCTCGGTACAGTTCTTCTTCATTAAATACAAACAAGACTTTATGGGTTTCATAGCGTAGAAAACAGTTGAAACAACAGTCGGGTGTTATTGCATGTGCAATATTAATTGACCTGTAAGGTGACATGTTTGGCTACGCGATATTACAACATAAGGCTCAGATATATAAGTAATATCTATATGTACGATACTTATATTTGTGAAATAATAAGCTAGAGATGAAACGGCAAACTCGTACTAAAGCTCTGTCAGTCGAGGACTCTATTTTTAACTTTTACTGGGGTTATACAGGTTTTTACACGCGTTATTAATATCGAAGGTTTTTTTTCTCGCCTTCTTTCTTCCTGTCGATGTCTTTAAAAAAAGCCCACAGAATTGTAGAACCATTATTATATAAGTGCACTTGTTGGTTTAGTGTGATGTCTTAAAGGACTACGTTTAGAGCTTGGAAAGATTTCAGAATCCATCCACCAAATCCCCCACCCTGACCCCTGTGTGTTAATTCTTTTGTTTTCCCAGATATCTTAAATAAGAAAAGAATTGCAGTTAATAGAATTATATAATTAACGTAATTCCGGTGCTTGTTTTATTCTGTAATGGCCTATTCAGAGCTTTTATCGATTTCAAAATTCATCTACGTAATTTCCATAACCCTAACCCTGAGATGGGGGTTATGTAATGGGGGTAATATGAGTGGTAGATAGCCGCTATATACTACGTTTATCCCTTATTTAAATAAAATAAATAGATTTACAAGAATTAAACACATCAAACTAGTTCGAAATTCACAGTGTCTGAAATATGTAAGTTTGGCTTATTCCTCTGG